TGTCCAAAATTTCTCTGGTAAGGGATGCCAAATATCACACTAAGCACAGCTCCTTTTCAAGTTATGTTACTCGGCTGCACGCATAAATTAATGCCGTGAATGAAGTTTGGCTGAATATTTGTCTTGTATGGCAACGCTCTGAAGACACACGCCGAGATCTTTTGTTACCTTAGCGTCATTTACTGAATTCAAATGATATGCGTTGATTCTTGTATTTCCATCACAGTAACTAATTAGTTTGCATCTTCACTTTGTTCTTGTTTGATCAAAAATATGCATGACTGGAGCAAATATGGCCCTCTTTGACTTACCGTGCTCTACACTTCCTGGGAAATTTTGTTTTTAAAAATTTAACACGTTGAATGTGTTAACAATTATTTGAGCGTTTCGAAAGATTAGTATTATTAATGAATGCATATTGGAAGCCAAACATCCGTAACAGGCTGCTCTAAGAAAAACTTGATCAGAAATGGTAAGTAGCAAATGCGTATTCTTTCATTTGAGTTAGGGCACGTAGCTTAGAGAGTAGAAAACCGACTTTGACTTTGCTTGATATTCTTTCAAGCGAAAAGGACGAAAGTTATTAGCTGAATTGCAAACATGCTCGCCTGTCATGTTATTCCTCTAATTTGTGCGTTTCGTTTCTTATTTTTTTTTCTAAATCTGATTTTTAAATTGGCACGGCTTTGATTACAAACGGATTCAACGCTAGTTGACTGAAGAGAGCATTTCAGTCATTCATGACCTGAAGAAAAAAGATTTGAATCGTCAAACTGTTTGTAGCGGTACGATGGTCAAGGGTTGCTTAAATTTCACCCAGAAAGGTTTAACCATGTTCGATAAATGTCTTACGCGTAAAGCTGCCCATGCATGAACAGGCATTAATTTGAAGAAAAAAGAAAGGAAAAGAAAAGAAAAAATACTTTACAACCTGTAAAAAAAGGTCCGATAAAAGCTGAGAAATTACAAACCTGGAAATGATTAGCGGGCGATTCCGATCGAAAAATATGTCTGAGTAACACCCTATTTCTGAGCGGCTTATAGCACTTCCACTGAACTGTATGCGTCACCTCATTTAGCGGCCGTTACTTCCCCTGCTCCGGTGGTTCATAGCCAGATTTTCAACACTGCATCGAGATGTTCATATAACTCTCAGCTTTCTAACGTATTCATCATGCAATCGTTTGCGGATGAACTGAGCTTATGCTTTGGAGAATGCTACCATACCACTTTACACCACTCCTCTTTATCAATTAAGCTTGTTTCTTATTTAAACAAATCCGTTCGTCGGCGGATATCTGGTTAAGAATTGATTAAACATGTAAAATTAAGATTCCTTTTCTATCAAATGTTTTATTGATCTTAGACAATACAGCCGACGGTTAACTCTCTAATTAATTTCCTCTCCAAATATATCTCAACAAAGATCTTCTCGAATAAGTGATTAAATTTGGGTTTAAAGATTTCAATGACCGCCCTTAAGGAGATTGAAGTGTTGAAATAATGATATGGTCAATCTTTATATATTAACAATTGAGAATTTTCCAGATCGTCGATAAGCAGTCTGTTGTTTTCAGGAAACGCATAAAGCTTTGCATAAGAAAAATAACATAAAAATAGCCATGAAGATTGTGAGAGAGGTGTAAATATAAAGTAGATTGAAAGACATGTCAGTCCAAGACACGAGACTGATCAAAGGTAAATGAATATGCGCAATGATTGCGCAATAAATGCGCAACAAATTTTCCGCTTATCATACAACCACGACTTTCGTCAAATTGGTATTCCCTAAGCCATTCGATTTTTGACTTTTAATCTGAATTCGCTTTGTTGACCTACTAAAGATTTTTCAAAGAAAAGAGACAGGGGAGGGGAGCAAAGAGTTGGCTCACATCACGACGTTTAGAAAACGAAATATGAATTACATACATTAAATACAAAAGCCTGAGGAGGATGATGTCAATATAAGTATAGCTTGGGATGAAGTACTGTTTAAGTTATCATGGATAACAAGTAAAAAAGTCACTGATTTATGGAAGTCATACTGGATGAGGCATTGAGCAAAATCACCCTGGTCGGCTAATGAGAAACTGAAATTTGTTTCGTATAGCGCTTAAAACGCTGAGTAGGATGGGGAGTTGCTTCGCAACGCTGCGACCCCAGCCAAACATGTCACACAAATGTTAAAATGCTTGTTCTTATTTCGAGGGTTAGTGTCGGGGTTTCTCCCTAGGTTCCCAAATTCACCCCCTCCCTCCTCCCCCCCCCTCCTCTCCCCCTCCCTCCTTCCCCCCCTCCTCTCCCCCTCCCTGCCTCTCATGGATATAAAACCGAAAAACAAAGACTTAAGCAAAAAAAAAAAACATAAACAAAACGAAATGAACTTTCCAAATTCAGAGTTGATATGGAAAAAGAGAATGAAAAGCAAACTCGTTCAATTTCCTTCCGAAATCGAATTTAACGGATATAATCGTTTCACGGATATAATTATGCACTTATACGTTTAGCTGGCGACTCAACCGCCTTTCATGTTCGCTTTCTTTCCTTGTTCGCATTTTAATCTTGATCTTGTTTTCTAGACAATGTTTGCTTAAGGTTTCTCCGCTTCATGTTAACTTAGAAATGGTTTTTAATTTTTGTCAGTCAAAAGATGGTTTCGACAGACAGTACTGTATTTAGTCAGCTACTGTCTCGCTCCTTGGGTCTTGGCAACCTTTCATCACTAGGCTGATTACATCTGCCTTGTGGTTTGCGTGTGATATTGTTTGCCGTTGGAAAAAGTCAGGAAACGACTAGTAGTTTTTATATTGATTCCTTAATCCTTTTTACGATAGACATGTAGGAAAACGAGCAAATTGTGAAGCTTTTCTTAGAGGACGCTTTGTCGTAAGAAGGTTTATTCACCCATCACGAAAAGATACCGAAACTAATTATTTTTCGTGGTATCAATGCATTTTTGTCCTTGTCCTTTTTGCCGTCATCGGACAATAGTGAACTCAAGTCAGTGTCAACAATTTAGCAATTAAAGTGGTCAAATGACTGAATTTATGTCTCTACAAGACAAACTTTAGACTTTGGGATGGAAAACTGTTTGCTTAACTATTCCCTCGATGTTATCTTTTTTTCTCTGTCATAATTGTTTTGCATATTTTAAATTCAGCGATGTATAGACGTACGAAATTGCGGAAATCGCGTCACCATTATTCAAGCCGTGAATGAGTAATTCCAAAAATTTATAAAATGATCAGTTTTCATGATATATGCTCCGAAAGGATAATATTCGACAGCCAGTCAGGGTAAGTTTGGATGCGCCTCATAAGAAACAAAAGTAACAGATTTTGGAGGTGAAACAGAGAACTATTCGCTCGTAGTTAGCGATAAATATTCGGAATGTTGTTTTTTTTCCCCAGCGCAAGTCCTATTGTGAATTCTAGCTAGAGATGTTTACTTCGCTAAAAATGCTTCAGTTCTATGACTCTTGCTTGTTTGAAGAAATGAAATAAGTGATTACTGCGCAAGGTAATTCCATGGAAAAACAACTCCATTCATAAGTGGACCAAAGTAATTCGATTTTTTTTCAGTCAGAATATCTCCTTTCCGCTCACACTTCCATTGGACGACAGTAATTAACCAGGCAACTGAGTTTTACCAAGAGATTACTAATATAGGAACATTACTAACAACCCAAATGAGAGTGAGTCAGATTACCATTGCGGAAAAAGCCAAAAAATTCAATTAAATTTTTTGAATGCTTGTTTGCTTCTTTGTCTGTTTTTGAACCATAGAAAAAAAATAAACTTCGTCGAATCGAACGTGACTTTAAAGTGAACCTGGTAATGTTGTCATGCACAGAATCAGTTGTTAACATAGCAACGAATGAGTAATTGATTTATTCACGCATTTTCAATATTAGCTTTTTCCCTTTTAGTGGTAAACCATGGAATATCAAATTATACTTAAAAAAATGTGTAGTATTTCTTCAAGTTACTTAAGGATAGAGAAAATCAAGAAAAATTTAGTATTTTATCAGCTACGTTCTTCTTTAAGTTTCAATCCGGAGGTAAATGATAACTTGACTTCATCGCAAAGTTTCCTTGGCTAAAAATGATTGTTTGTTTTGAATATATTAACGATTATAATAAGTCCCATTACTAAGAATTTTACCTTCATTTTGCCAAACAGTAATTAACACAATAGGTTAGGCAATTTAAATAGTTTAAGAAACACCATCGTAGACAATTAAATATTCCCACACGCTACTTTCTCATTTAAATCATTTTCTCTCAGCGGCTTGCTTTTGTGCCAAAGTGTCGATTACGCAAGAAAGTGAGAGATGATTCCAACAGCGTTAATTTTTTTTGCTTGTCTTTGCCCCAAACTGCTTGTTTGAATGGTACTGTCAAGTTCTAATTTTTCTTTTCCTTCTATTTTTGCGACCTAGAAACCGGTAAGTTATCACCTCAAAGAAAACTTAAATATTTTCTCCACAAAAGGGTGCAATGTAGAATTAACATGATTTTTTTTCTTAAGTCAGGGTCAATAATCTAGTTAAATAGAGCTTAAATCCTACTTTAGTAAAATCCTCCAGGAGGCCGGGTTAACAAGTATGTAGTGAATGATAACATGTTACTGTTGTGCGCCAAAGCCAGAATTTGACAGCAAGCAAATGATTGCAGCTTTATCCCGTGAATGGTACAGAAGGAAAAATATCGATATATCCTGATATATGCACTTGCTTATATGCATTAATTTATCATTCAACGGAGTAGTTACTGATCAAGGATGCTTTACACGTACTCAATGTCATAACGGAAGCTACTTTTGCTGGGCGTCTTAATAATAATTTTGTAACCGAAATTAAATTTGTCATGAAAAGTTTATTTCGCGGCTATATTTTATGCTTCCTCGATTTTTCCGCTCGCACACAATTTTTTTGAGTCGATTTATCTGATTTTTATTGTTGTCATTTGTAGTTCGTCTACAAAGCGAGGTTCATCAAAATGAACAACTCCTCCATCTCCACTCAGAGAAATGAGAAAGAACCAAACATGAAGTTATCAGAATTAATGGCGTGGAGTTCTGCGTATGGATTTGTCGATGTTGTCATCCTTGTTGGCAATGTCCTTACCCTCACCGTTTTTTCTACAAACAAGAAGCTTCTTCGCATGCGTGCAAATTACTTCCTGATAAATCTGGCACTAGCGGATATGATGGTTGGTACGTTCGCTATACCCATGTACCTTTATCACTTAATTGCGGCATGGGAGAAGGGTCACAGCGTTTGGATGCAATATAGTTACAAGATTTACAAGGTGGTCGATGTTTTTGTTGGCTGCGCCTCCATATTTACCCTCACTGTTATAGCCTTGGAGCGAGCATTCTCAGTTTGTTTGCCTCATGTTCATCGTCACGTCAGAAACAACAGCTACTATGGACTTCTTGGCCTAATATGGCTGTTGTCTATTCTGGTCTCTTGTTTGCGATTCCTTTTTGAGGAAAAACTCCTATCACTACCGTTTTTCTTCTACTTCATGTTGGTTTCCTTTGCCGTCGCCCTCTCGATAATTTGCGTATCTTATGTGGTAATATGGTTCAAAATGAAATTTCGTTTCGCCAGGAGAGACAGCGTACATAAGCGGTCCGGTGAACATGACAAACGACTCGCTGTAATACTGTCTACAGTAACTGTTGTGTTTGTTCTCACCTGGATGCCATTTCAAGTCATAAACATTGTAGCATTTTTCTGCATGTCTTGCCAGAAAATGCCCAACGAGATCGCTTACTTTGCAAAGTTTTTACATTATGGTAACTCATGCGTCAATCCTATTATTTACTCATTCTTGGTACCTGAGTTTAGGAAGACAGTTGTCAAAATTTGCAGCAAAATAAGAGCTTAATTTACATTGAAAGTTGAAATGAATAATACATAAAACTTAGTAATCGCGAAGCAATTTTTCAATTTTGCCGATATATATTTCCAGTTCCTGTCTGAAGATAAAGGGTATTGCAGTCTGGTACATACAAACTATTGTAGGGGTGATATTTTAGTCAGTGAAACCACCAGTTCTAAACTAGACTCGACTCATGCTAGTTAGACGAAAAGTATTGAATGTCCGTCTATTATTTTAACAGCGTGAATTCCATCAATTTTCATAGCTGGAGAAAAGTTAACATTATCGATAATGAAAAAAATCATATCATAATTTCTTATGGTAGCCTACCTGCTGATTATTAAAATAAATTTGGAATGATATTTGGATGGAGCCTTCGGCAGTGTCCTCTGGTTTTTATTGCTTGTCTGTGGAAAGGTTATTGCCACAGATATATATGCAGAGTATTCAACAACTTGACGGCCAAATAAGAAGCCTCTTATCAACAGACACTTATCAAAGAAATAATTTTTAGACCAACTTTTCTGATTAACTAAGTTTTGTGTTTCTCTTGCCTAAATGTGGTTTCGAGTTACCGCTACCAATGTTTTAAATTGTTTGTTATCAATAGCTGAGACGGTAAAGAATTAAGCAGAAAACCGCGATTCGTTAACAATTATTTGGGATAGTTTTTAACAAAAAGATTCCCAGACATCACTTCTATGTCAATTGCTATAGAATGTCGAGGAAGGTTGGCCGAAGTTGATGACTTAGGGTCTTTTTAAATGGTCTCAAATACTTGAGATTACCCCCCCCCCCCCATAATTACATTTGCTTCCCCTCTTTCCTTGAGAATATTCAACCACCAAAAATGGCGCACTCGCCTGAAGGGGGAGGGGGGGGGGAGACTATTCGGCAGAGCAAGCTGTCTCGCCTCAGCAGGTAGGGCAACCCTATCAGGCGGGACAACTTTTCCTCATATACGAAACATTTCTGCTCGCCGGCCCGAGCCAGTCTTAGCAGAGACATCAGCGGAAGACTGAGTGAAAGGAGAGCTGTTACAACCCACAACTCCATATAAACGCGCTGTAAAGTTGTCTCACATTGTTTTATTTCCCCTCATGGAAACAGGTAACGACTCTCTTTAGTTTAGTTAGAATGATTTGGTGTATTTTCATTTGGCAATAAAATGAAATAGCCGTTTCGTGAAGATTCAAATTTTTTTTCAGAGATTAAATTTAAGAAACTCAAGAAAAAATAATATGTTTCGACAGGTCATGTAATAAGATAGGTTAAGGGGACCAAACCTTGCGTTCTTTTAAACATGCTGGGGCCTATTACGTGTGGAGAAAACTTATTGAATATTTTGGCTGTCCTAAAAGCATTGCATTGAGGTTAAGACAACGGTTGCGTGGCTGCAGCTTAGTATTTTTCTCCTTCCACTTTTTTTTTCTTTATCATTATCACACTTTTATTTATCCATCTTAGATCCAACGAAACATGGTAACGCAAGCTAGCATTTGTAGGATCCTTTCCCACCCCTCCCATCTATTCTCAATATAATATTTTTACACACCATTGACGCCTTCTTATCTTAAAAATACATAAAATTAACATTTCAAAAATGCTTAAATAAACAAAATTTTAGACGCCTACGTCGCCTTCACGGATAGCATGGTTTCAAGAATTCCTGCAAAATGCCAGAAATGACCTTTATACCGACGAAGAATTGCATCTCAGGTGAAACAAGAGATATTTATTGTTCCAGAAGGTTATGTGAGTGCCGTACAAGTCGACCTATTATACTAGTTGCCAAATTTGAGACTACATGCTGCTTTGTTGTTCATTGAAATACCTCTCGGGGTTCTGAATGATCACGCACTTGCTAATTTATTAACAAACAATCTACAGATGCTCATCGAAAATTTGCTGGACATTCTTTGAATTGCGAAGGCCGATGATCAAAACAATCAAGTCACGGATATTGCCGAACGTGTAAAATGCTCTAAAAGCGAGGTAAGTAGAAGATACTGAATGTTCCGTTCAAGTTCACTTGATAAGCAATTGTCACCCATGTAATGAGTTGTGAGCGACAAAATTACGCTGGCTCTAATACAATCGTGTAGTAAGTCTTACATTTACACTAAACTTACGCCTCGCTAATCATGTCATCTTTAGTCTAATTCCTGCAAACCAAGAAATTCCTTTGACGCGGGAACTAACGTTTTACATGGCTAAACAACGCCAACGACGGAATCCAAATATGTCACATAAGGAGTCGGAACTTCATACAGTTTATTTCGCCTATCAAATGTTTCAAGAATTTCACTTATCACGTTCGAAAAGATAATCTACCTGCGGCATTTTGCTCAACGATTAAGAAGTAATCCTAAACAAAAGTAGATTTGGACCGGTTGTCTTGACAAGCTCTTCAATTAGTGCGTCACGGTTTATGTTTGAGTATCTTTGTTTTGACAAGGGGGAGGTGAGGTACTGTAAGGCTCCGAACTCGACGGAAATAATATCAAAGGTTAACTGTTTGCCACCCAGATCTCTAAATCACGAGCCTCTTTCAGTACAAACAGATAGTTTTCCACACCAATTTCAGAAATGTCCTATCTTGTCTTAAAAAATCCATTTCCTCATTTACAAATTGTTGACATCACTTAATTTAACGCAAGTAAAGTTGCAGTTTCAAATTTCCTCAAAGCCTTTGTTTTAAGCTTTCGTTAGCGCTGCGACAAAGAATTGTAGTTACTGAAAATTCTAGCAAGCTTCTCCTTGCAATAAGATTGTGGATGTTCAACACCTCTCGGTCATTTTTAGTTAATTTTCTCCATTTTGACAATTTTATATTATGAAAATGTCATATCGTGGTTTGCCACAAGCTGAAAGTAAATCTGTAAGTCACAAGTAACGGCTCATGATATCGTCACGTACGCGTAACACAGTCAGTATAAGACGTAATGAATTACAGAATCAGTGGACAGCCGCTGCACAGTGTGAGTTCAAATTGATTAAGTTAGTCGCCAGATCAGCAACAGTAAAGCAGTTTCAACGGAATGTGTAAGCAAGTTTAGGAGATTATTATTCACTTTTTTGGGAGGAAGAGAGGAGAACTTGACCAGGTCATCGACGTCAAAGAGTGTAATGTTCTTAGTCGAGCGATACAAGGAAAAACGTAGGGAGTAACTTGGAAGGTGATTTTTCGCCGCTCGGTTATATCATCTCACACCTGCTTAGTTAAGACGCCAAAAAAATGAAAGGAAAATCTTCGCTTGTGCCTTCATCGTAGTACTGCAACGACAGACCGAAGAGTTGATGTGATGATTTCTTACTAACGAGCGTGAGGACAGTTTTCTTGGGAATGTTAGCACGAGGTCGAGGCAATACGGGGCGAGTGCATCAGGGTTCATGCTAAACGAGATTGAGGGGCTGATGTTCCATACAAGGCTCACAAAAGCCCATGTATATAACAGTAAATGGTGGCAAATGCACTCCCGGGCACTTGAAGTCGAGGGGCTTCCGTAATGACGTATTTTTTATGACGCACGCAATCAGGAGATATCGGACTAGTAACGCTTGTCTGTGATCAGATTTACATAGGGTTACTTCATGTGGAGTGTGAGCAAGCCTTAAAGAACTATTAGGGACGTTCGAAATGAAATTTGTCGAAAGACCCAATGACCGTAGGCTTTGTTGAAATCTCATGAAGATTTTTGTCGCGTATGTTCTGAACAAAATTCAGGTTGGCAAGGTGCCCCATCTCGAAAACAGGTAGGCTGTCAAATCTTTCACTAGTCACGATATTAAATTTGATGAAGCAGAGAAGAATTTCGTATTTGTGTTTACTCGTTTGTCTTTCTAAAATCGCCCATGGCTCCCTGGTTTTCGTCTGCGCCTGTTTCGATCTCAACATAGAGAAGTTTTGAGATCTTAAGGATAAATGTACTTGTCACGGAAAATTCGTCTTCGTATTAAGCCTTTTTTAAATATCAATGTTCAGGCAGATTATTTGCGACAAATGAGAGTATCTGTGATTTCATTTTAAAAATAAATAATATATAGTTATAGCCGCTTTCGATGAAATGATCTAACTGACAAAATTCCGACCAAGAAAGAATTGACTCTACTTAAGACTACTTTGCCAATTAATAAAAATATATTCCATGGCACACGATGTGCAGGCGGGTGTCACTAGTGTTCTTACCACGTATCCTGTGATTTATTACTGAACCGACGCATGGGACAACTATTTCATTTACATAATAATGAAGCAAAAGGTTTTCAATGGTGACTTCGTCTATGCGTTTGTCCTACAATCGATCGTTAGTAAGAATCATCTAAACTTGTATAAAATTAGTAAAGCAATATTTTATAGAACGAACGTCTGTTTTCTATGGGTTTACCAGTGCAACAGACGGTAGGACTTTGACCAATCAGGGTGCTCGTAGTTTCTCAGTTTTTTGATAGTATTTTAATTATGACATGATTTACAGAGCCCAAAAGAAAGTACCTTTACCTGTTTATTGCACCCGCAAGTATGGATCCTTTTAGATAAAATATTTGAAATTACCCCCACATTATCATGACCACCTTCCTCGTCCAGGGACCGCAGGGCATGACCAATACGCTGGTGAATACTTCGTTCTCTTAACTCGAGTTCCCTCGTGGGGCGGAAGGTAGAGAGACCCTGACTATTCTTAAAAGGTGGTTTTACAACCTCTTATCCCATTCCCTTGCACTGAATCTCTCCTGGGCCCATTCAATGCAACATCAGGACATAAGTAGGTATGTAAATGAAACGTATTGAGCAGCAAAGCAAGTTCACTTATCCAGTATATTGCAACATGATCTCACCTCGAGCAACTAAAACGTTCCTTAAAGCATTAACAGTTGACTGATGGTCTTGTTTTATGCTTTATTCCACCAGGACAAAACGCCACCATCTTAATGAACAACTCTTCTTCACAACATGAAGGTAATGAACAAGCAGCTGGTTCACTGGTGGCGTGGAGCTTAGCATACGGATTGCTGGATGTCGTCGTAATACTTGGGAATGTCATAACGCTCCTTGTATTCTTTAGGAATAAAAAACTTTTGCGCACACGCGCAAATTACTTCCTAATAAATCTAGCTATAGCTGATATGATGGTTGGTACATTCGCCATACCCATGTACGTCTATCATTTGATTTCCGCGTTGTATAAGGGTGAAGGTGTCTGGAAACAGTTCAGCTCTAAGATTTATACGGCAGTTGATGTTTTTGTCGGTTGTGCTTCAATTTACACATTAACATTCATCGCCTTGGAACGAGCATTCTCTGTTTGTTTACCTCAGATTCATCGCCATGCAAGAGTAAAGACTTATTATGGACTTCTAGGCTTGATATGGCTGCTGTCTATTTTGGTATCCTGTTTGCGGTTTCTGTATGAGACAGACCTCCTTAAATTGAAATTTTTCTTCTATGTTATGCTGGTTTTATTCTCTATCGCCCTCTTGATAATCTGTATCTCTTACGCTGTAATATGGTTCAAAATGAAGTTCCGGTTCGCCAATAGAGAGGGAAACAAACGTAAGAGGGAACAGGACAAGCGACTCGCCATTTTGCTGTTTATAGTGACTGTGGTGTTCGGTCTCACGTGGATGCCATTTCAAATCATAAACATTGTGGCGTTTTTCTGCTACCCGTGTAGGAAAATGTCAATCGATGGTGTCAATTTTGCAAAGTTCTTGCACTATGGCAACTCTTGTGTTAATCCTATAATATACTCCTTTTTGGTTCCCGAGTTTAGGAAGACTGTTGCTAGTATTTTTAGAAAACTAAGAAACAATGACGAAACTGGAATTTCGACGTTTGAAATGCATTCGGCTAAAACGTAAGTAGGCACTTACTTAATCTAGGTCATTATACGCACAGATTTTACATAGTGATCGAGGGAGCTGGGGCGATTAACAGCTGCAATCTTTCAGTCCCGGGTTAGCATTTGCAAAGGCCAGACTGGAAGTCAAGGTGTTGAAAAGTTTGTTCTTACAAGCAATTTGCTTTGTCTGGTTCTTAAGAAACGTCTCATATCTCCGGCGTACACTCCGTTGCAATGCAAACTTTAACTTTACAACAGCGTCGGTTCTCCCAGACTTTTCTCGAATTGTCGATCAGGTAACTTGATTCCTTACCCTCACCTGAATGCGTCGTCAAGTGAAACGCTTACGCCCAGCTTAGAAAGCAAATTTCGCCTCAAGCTTTTACCTTCTTTATAGAATTGTTATTCAATACTTGAAAGTTAGACTTTGAGTCTCTTCATATATCATTGCTTAAGATGTCCCTGTCAAGTAAACAAATTGAATGTATCTCATCCACTATTTTTAGCTAAGTAATGATTGTTCTCGATGTAACTTCAATTTTGAAGGTCTGAAGAATTCTTTTGACGAAAACACATTCAACAATTAGAAGCGAAAGCAGGTGAACAGAATCGTCCGAAAAATGCCGTTGGACCAGAATCAGTGAAGTGACAAGTTAATTTTATAATGAGTCTTTGTATTAACACGTAACGAATAGACCTTTAGAGCCATCCATCATGATTTATTCAAGATAATCAGCTGCGAAAAACTGTTTGACCTGCTACGAAATATGTTGTTAGACAAAGGCACGAAGGCTTACAGACAGCATTAGCTGCTGAGTTCGTCAGAAACACATTAAGGAAAGTAAAGGTTTCGAAAATGGATTCTGATAACCTTATCTTTCTGTACGATACATTAGGCAAATTAACACCTAGCACAATGTAAATAAAGATTGTTATAAAAATGTGCGTTATGAAGTCATCCTTATCGAAGTGACAGATATGGTATTAATTAAAATTGGCTTATTACACTAAATTGGTAAATATGAGAATCCCTGCTGGTTTTGTGTTTCTTTTCAAGTTTACGTTCCTTAATGAACTCTCAGCGGAGATTTCAGTGCTGGTTTTTCAGAATGATCCCAACCAGATATCTACCAGAAGTGCCCCAGTTTAAGAAAACTGACTGAGCGTTTCTAGCTTATCATTCTCTCAGAAGGTCAACACTCTTAGCTACCAAGGTGACAAAGCTGATGTCGTCATTCATATGGAACTAAATGATGCGAGTCGTACTTTTCTTCTTACCTATTGCATGGTGAGTGATCAGTCCCACTTATCTGGATCCTTTTGCAGAGATGCTGGAATTGCTTCACGGAGAACTCTAAACTTTTATCTGTCAATCCTGTAGGATAATATTTCTTGTTGCTTGATTTGCACCATTTTGGTTTCAATTCGTAGAGCAATTATTCCAACTGCGCGATAGAATGATCGGAACGGTGCAATATAACAAAGATTAATCGCATTAATGCCTACCTCAGCCTATCAGGTTAGTGTCTACAGTTTTAGTTTGTAAAATGTGCACTGTTTTTAACGATGATTGAGGTGATTTCGCAGTGAGATTGCTTGTTCTATTTTCAGAGAGGTAATTTTTGAGAATGTCATGATCACTGAATTTAGATGATCTTGATGAGGTGCCTGGTTCTCGGACCAAGCAAAATAACGCTTACTCGACCCAAAAAATGGTATACCGGCCACAATTTGATCTTACAATTTAGTGATTTATGTGGACTCGTAAAGTTGTCTTCATCTCTGACCTTCAACATCAGTTGCGTCTCAAAATTATGCCTTGATATTTTGATTTATTATGATCCAAGATCATGATATTTCCTAAGGAAACGATCTTGTTCTCTTTAAACCCCAAGAATGTTACTTTTCCTTTTAAATCTTCACTCTGTTACTTTAATGCAATTATGGCTGTTTTGTCGATTTTTTTTTTCTTGAAGTGTGATCTACCACCACAGCCGGTTTTATAATCAACTTAGCTAAGTAAACAATCTTTTTAAAACAAATTTACAGACAGACAACCTTCTAAACTAAATCTTACAAACCCATCTTTCCGGTTGATTAGCAGATGAGTGAGTCGAGGCAGGAAATTGAAACAGCATTCCTGCCAAGCGGACGAAACCGAACACAATAGTATGACTCAGCGCGATTTGTTGGCGTGTGAGTTAAGTGGCTATGACATACTTTAAGAAAATTCTTTTTCTTTTCCCATGCCCCGCTCTGTTGAGGTATAGGTTTCTTAGAGAAGTAATTAACCAGATATCGTAGAACGAACCTTTGAAACCAGATCTGTCGGTGATGGAGAGAAGATTTTACTAGTGCTTCAGCCATTCAGTGCAAAAATTTGTAGGTATATTTTGGATAAGTATATTTTCAAACGTAAACTGACGTTTAAATTGCCATCATTCCACGCTCCAGCCCCACTTGTCACTCTCTTAAGTCAAGAAAAATAAGTGAACTCTCTTGATACAATATTTTCCTTAATCATTGTCATTTTCTCCATGTAGTTTGTTTCTCACATTTATCATGTTATGGATAACAGATTGTTTTATAGTTTTCTCTTTAAGAAGGATAATGAAAATAATGATGATAATAATAATGGTTATGTCTTCATCGTTCTGTCGTTTGACTTCAGTTGATTTAGTGGCATATGTTTACCTGAAGGCCACTGACAACACAACTGTTCCTTCGAAAGTTCGCCACCAGCCAAAACTATAGTGACTGTGACATTTTTATTAGTTATACGTGCGTAATGTTATTCATATCTACCTTACATTTCGTGGGATGTTTTAAATGAACCAGTGGAAGGAAGATAATTTTAAAATAAAACAGCCTCTGGTGTTCCTCTTATGTTAATCATATTAACGTTGATGTGATCCTCCACCTCAGCGGAAGGCGAGCTATGCAAGAATGAGCCGAATGGAGTTCAACATATCATCACTTTGCTTTATTTTAACCTTTTTAGAGAGCACTCTGTTCCATTTGGATAACCATTAAAACAGTAAGGCAAAAAACAAAACAAAACAAAACAGAACAAAACAAAAAAAGCCTCTGACAGTACAACATCAACGGAATTTTCCAGCGCGCCACGAGTTTTGAAATTCGGTGTAGAACTCACAGGACAAGTCGAGGGGAAGGAGTAACTGATCTCAAAACTGACACTTAAAAGTATATGGCGGCTCGGCAAATCATTGTTAGACTTAATCGCGAAACCTGCAATTAATGCCAGTACTTTACCATTTAATGCAGCACTCTGCGTTATTGCTACTATAAAATGAGAAGTTTTTTTAAATACAGGCTAACGTCTCAAAGGAAATCTTGACCTAGCTGTTTGTTACGTGCATGTATACGGATCTTCAAATTAGTATCCGGGCAAAGGTTATAGACGTAAGTATTCCGTTTAAACCGGGAATTTTCAGAGTCTCTCCGTGCAACTATTGAACAGTATGTCATCGCATTGGTCTTTGGCCTTTCTTTAATTTTGGAAAATCATATGGGGTCTAAACAAAATCAGCTTGATCGGATCAAAGAGTGTCAGATTGACTTTGCCTGTAGAGGTTCTAACTCTGTAACACGCGATATTCTCGATAGTTATTTGCTATTGCTGAATAAATCCTTTGGATTAACCTACAGGTAGATCCTTATGTACTGTGTATGATTGTCGACCATTCAGTCAAAAATATCTTCGTACTGTAGCTCTAAAAATACGAACCAGTATAGCCTTCCAGTAAAATCCTTTTTAATAGTATCGTATATTTAGATGAGACACCGGCGTGTTGTTTAACTTCCCAGTGAGAAAACAGCTGATAAATTTTAGATTAAAAAAGTGCAGAGGAATGTGTTGCACACAGCAACAGTACAATGTAATACTGAAGTGATGACTATTTGACTATTTAACGGCAAGAACTCACAGATCTCCAAAATGAAAAACACAATTCTTAAAAGTCATCTAATGACGAAATGCGCATTTCCTCCTGTCTGTGAAACATTACTGAAAATCCGGTGGCCAATCAAAAAATGGAGCAACAGAGGTACTTTAGAATAATGTTTTGGTTTGAATTAACGGTAATCAATTTTCAAAGTCAAGAGCCCTACAACTGAAGTAAACAAATTGATCCAATTTGGTCCTACGCTAAACAGTCTGGTGAAGGTCCCTTGTAATTGATTTAATTGTTTTATCAGTTCTTTATGCTTGCTTCTGAAAATAAGCCTCGCTCAAGTTGACTGCCATTTTCCTTACAGAATGAACATGTCAAACACAAACAACACGCAGAGAGATTGGAAACCAAGTACCCCAACTTATGGAGTTATCTTATGGTGCATAACGTACAGCCTCACAGCAGTTGGCATAATCTGCGCCAACGTGTTCGCCGTTTTCGTTTTCACAATGAAAAGGCTTTTGCGTAAGAGGAGCAATATTCTCCTATTGAATTTAGCCATCGCTGACTTGATGGTTGGAAGCATAGCGTTCCCAATGTACATTTATATTTTCTATAACTCGCACAAAAGCTTCTTATGGAGAGACATGATCACGAACCATGTGTACCTCGGCGTGGACGTCTTTTCAGGATTATCCTCGATGTTTATTTTAGCAATGATTGCCTTAGAAAGGGCGTATTCTGTCTACCGACCTCTAAAGCACCGCTGTGTTTCTAGGAGGTCAAGGCTCTATTGGTTGTCTGCAGCTTGTGTTTGGGTAACATCGGGAGTCCTTACTTCCATGAAGATTCTAACATCGCTTGGAGTTCTGACCTTCTCGTATGACAAACATGTTATCTTCATATTTGTGTCCATCGCCTTGATGACCATAATAGCCGCCCACGCTTCTATCTGGACCAAAATCACTAGACGAAAAGAGAACCTCGATTTCATAGTCAAAGAAAAATCCATTGCCCTAGCAATGCTTATAGTAACTGTCGCCTTTATTGTGATGTGGCTGCCGTTTTATCTTCTTAATGTAATTTACAGTTTTGATCAAAAAGCTTTGAAATCCGTCCCCTTAAATTTCTTTTACTTTGCTAAACTATTGCAGTATGGAAACTCCGTCGTGAATCCAGTAATATATACATTGAAGCTTCCACAATTCCGCAGGGCTCTCCGAAAATTACAAAGCTTCAAAAGCTCTGTAAGAACAGACAAAGACGTACCACTGTAATAGCGTCAGTATATTTGCAGGAGTCTTTTAAGATAAACTCAGTGAGATAAAATCGAAAACTCCAATCTCACTCAATCAGACGTACCACTGTAATAGGAAATAAAACTGTAATTTAAGATAGAAGGTAATTTAGAGTTAACAACTGAGTTGAAAATGTAAATTAGTCAATCGCTCTGAAGAAGGGCTAACGCTCGAAACGTCAGCTTTTTTACCCTTTACGGTGGCTAATTTACGTTTTCAACTCAGTTGTTAACACTAAATTACCTGCTTTACTCTCCCACCGACGCAGTACCACAGTTTCTTTAGAAACTTACCCCTTTATTCATTTGTGTTTTAAGATACATCCCAGTTTTGGAATTGTCCACCCTTTTCGCTATTGGGTATGTTGATAGGAACAGATAGCCTACTTGTAGTCGTTCCCTCCCCCTTCCCCCCCCTCCTTAGGGTGAAACGGAAGCGAGGGGCGGTTTACGAAATACTACTGTTAATAGATCTCTTTGTAATTTACATTAAAGGACTGCAATTATTGGAATATCTCGAGTTCTGCCAAAGTCGTCGATCGACCAATGATGATATAAGTGGGAATAAACTGACTGCACGGTGCTTCCGTCAAGAACCACAGGACGCTTAATTTGCTTGACTAGCTGTAATTTCTATTAAGTTTAGCTTTAATGTAGGTTTCACCACAGCACCACGTGCGCATTTTTGGTCAATTGTTTCTAAAACCAACATACAAATTTTTCATGTGCGTTAAATCAATTTTTTCTCCAACGACTGCAATGATTGTCATCCAGTAGAATTCTCTCGGTGGTGTCGTGTTTCCAATATCCAAATGGCATAATGTAGAAACGTTCTCTACAACAGGACCTATGCAGACGTCCATAACGAAGAAATATAAATCTAACTGCCATGTTTTCCTGATTTTGATATCCAATGTCAAAATTTGCTCTTCAGCAAGCTGTATTATTATACCGTGTAATCGCTAACTAAAGTCGGCCTATTTCTCACCGTCTTTGATTAAAAGGAAAAGGACCGGAAAAGTGTAACTAACAGTGATTTGAAAACGTGAATGACCTTATAACAATAATTGAATTGATGTTAAATTTAATGCAAAACATATCATCCCCACCTTTCTATTTCATTGTCTAAAAAATACACTGCTCCGTCAGAAAAGATTAAATTTTAACACATTCTAAATCCAATATTTTATTGGACAGTTACTGAGAAACGACGTATTCAAGTTTGGCATGAAATCGGTAGCAAAATAGCCGCTTTAAAGTTACAATTGGCAATTTGTTTAAATATCACGCAGCTTTTCTATATGACTTCCGACGGGACAGAAAAAAGAAAACAATCATGATAACATTGTTATTGTAGCTTTATTTCGCTCGATTGCTTGGACATTGTTTTTCTTCTTTCTTATTTTGACTGGCTGATCAACAATTGCTTCGATCATTTCGCCAAGAAAATATCAGACTTTTTTTTCTCTTTATTTTGGATAACTAAAGCATTGTGATATATTTTTAATAGAAAGCACCGAAACAAATGCTGTGTTACGTTTTCGCATGCAAAAAGATTCGTCGACCCGAACTTGCTAATAAAAACTAAACAGAACGAAGATTATTTGAATAAAGTTTTAATTGTCAAAGGGAGCAATACATTGGCAAAGCGAAATACTGACGGAAATGTTCACATCGAAAAAATAAACATAAAGATATTAAACTTATTAGTTTATCACAATACACTCTCTTGATACGAGAGCGGTGTGCCAATTTGACGACGAAACAGGAGTCCTCGCTACTTACCTAGTCATAACACCTGCAAATCCAATTGCCAAATTTGCTTTTAGTCAAAATGTGAAGAGGCGATGCACTTTACTGGCCTTTCAAACAGCGCATTTAAGCCAAAAAAATTGTCGTTGCTATTTTTAACTACAGCTAACATACATACAATAACAGGGTTTTAGTTTGTGTTAATGGAAGCATGCCGCTGTGATGAAAGGACACCTAAAGGCGCTTTAGTCAACGCGGATACATGGAGAAAAACATCACCGAAACACGACCGTGAAATTCTCATTTCTGGAACTAATTTCACCCAGGTATGTAAATATAGATTTGTTAGGAGATTGCAGTCGTTCAATAATGACGAGTTCAATGTACACTTTCACGCTCTTCATAATAAGAATTTTATTTTTTTTCTTTACCCACAATCCCCCGCTGTTACGGTCAATAAAGAAATATTTAAGGAATACATTTGCCGCAGTCTTGCATAGTTCGTAAGACGTTACCGCGTGAGCCAAACAACAAAGCACAGATGGTAACAGCTGCTTTAGTAATATACATGTGAACTCCGCTTAACGGATTGATCGTTTCTGTTGCCTTTCAGATTGAAGCTCGATGTTAACCTGAAGAGTTCCTGTTAGGCTGGCAAAGCGAAGTTGTTTGCACCATCCATTTAAATACGGTCAGTATTTGACTTGCTCATTTACACTTCTTTCGAGAGAAAGTTGTGAGGCGAGAAACAAAATATCAGAATGCATTGTTCATCTCCTTTATTCCTGTTATCTAAGCTTTGACACGTTCGGTGAGGAAATCGTTAACGATGTATAAGAACAGCTCAAGACAATTGGAACAAGTGAACTACAGTTTTGAACGCCGGGCAAGACAGAAATAAGAATGAACTTATCGCCGCTTGTTCCGGCAAACTCAAAATAGACAGAACCAATTGATGTTTATGCAAAATGTGTTGAACACGTCGACAAAATAACTCATTTAATGTAATGAATACCACTAATCTGTATTTTACTGAAATTTGTTCACACTTGTGTTTTAGCTTGGTTTGGTCATGCTTACTTAGTTAGACATGAACCGTGAATTTTACATACAGCGAGAACTTATGTTAAAGCTAAATCGTTAAAAGATAAGCCCATTACTGAATCACTCGTATCAAACTCAAGATATATGTGTCTGCAGATTTTAATGTTTTATAAAAGTCTAGCAATTTCGAAGCTTATCTTGGTCCACAAATGGTTATGTTAAAACGAGAAGAACAAAATAAACTAAATGACGTTGTTTCAACTCGCCATTTGGCGATCTTTGCCTTATTACGAAAGCAATCAGTATCTGCTCAAATCTTCATTGTGCAAAATGTGAATTTCTATTTAAACATTAGCCCCCCAATATAAATTCCGTAGTTTTGCTTTCTATGGACATTTTTAATTGCTAAAACTTTCTTCGGGTAACCAATAAATTTAGCCACCTCATAAATCATGCATTGTTTATTTTTTTCATAAAACTTGACCGAGATTTACGGTGTTATTCACGCTGAAAATTTGCATAAATCTTTCTTCTGTTAAAAATCGATTAATTTTAAGGAGGAATATTACCGGAGCGAAAGGTTAAATTTGTGCTTTGTAATAGATGAAAGGCAGGAAAATTTATTTATGTGGGTCATGCAACATAAAAACGTAGGGCGAAACCTTGTTAGAAGCCGGTGAAAAGTGACAATACTTTATCAAACAATTCTGCATAAACTAGTGAACAACATATCATCCTATTGAAAAGAAAAACACACAGACTTCGTAGGTGAAAGCTGTCACAAGTGTTTGTCGCTACGTATACGACATATGAGTTTCATTAACTAACTTCTCCGGAGACTGCGTTTGAACGTCGTGTTTTTTTTTTCCATATTAAAGGAAACTTCTGATTCAGAATATTTACTTTTATACGACATTTAATTTGATATGCGTCAAACCAAATGAAGGTTTAAAAGAAAATGTTTTTGCCATTCGTTTCAATATTAGAACAAGTGAGCAGTTCTCGGAAACTTTTGTGAAGTGTCTCTGAAAATTTTAAAAAGATTTTTGTCTTGTTGACGCACTTGATGCAAGAGTGCAACTTGATCCTTCTGTGATCCTTCCTCAGGAGGTGTTACAAAATTTGACAGTAATTGTTAGAAAACGCTTCAGTAAACTGAATTTCGGTATCATTTTGCGTTATTTGATGACAACTAAGCTCTGGCGATGTCTCAACTGTGAAAACAAGACTGATATAAGGTAGTAAAACAAATATTTATAGCCTGCCTTGAGCCTGAGCATACATTTACCCAAAGGTATCAGTCATACATGACATGTTTCACTCCCGTATCGTGAAATCTTAGACATCAAAATCGGATGATGAAACGAACCTTAAAAATAAGGTTCTTTTATAACTACAAAACGAGGCCACCCCTTAAACATAAAAATAAATGATAAAAAAGACCTTATTACCAAAACGAAATGCTTTTGAGGATGATAATATAGGTTGTCTAATGTAAAACCACAAAGTTGCCTATCACAATTGCTTGCTTGCGTAAGTAAAATATCAACTAAGATTAAATCTCACTCGTTACGTTTCAGGAAAACAATACTCTTATAGAGGAATGAATAATAACACTTCAGGGCCAGGTAATTCCACATCCACTGGGGAAGATAAGCAGGTCATCACCTGGTGTGTTGCATATGCACTCGTAACAGTCACTATCATAGTGAATAATGTGGCAGCCATATTGGCATTTACAAAGTCACGCCTTCTAAGGAAATTTGGAAACTATTTCCTTGTTAATCTGGCAGTGGCGGATTTGATGGTCGGGACAATTGCTTTGCCGTTGTATATACATTTAATCTACATATCACCACCTAAAACATCATTATCAACCAAACCAGGGCCTTTTCAGATCGTACAAATTGCTTTTGATGTGTTTTCTGGAATGGCATCTGTCTTCATACTCACCGTTATTTCTTTTGAAAGGGTATGCGCCATATTTTGCCCTCTACGATATCGCAGCCTTTCAAAAGCAACCTATCTCATTGTATTAACAGAGGTATGGATTCTTGCGGGAGCTCTCACAGGAATATGGCTTTTGACTGTGTTTGACTTCATCCATCATAATATCTTTGCGTATAGTTTGGCTATTTTATCTTTCACATCGCTTACGTTGATGATAGCTTCTTACGTCGCTCTATGGCTGAAGATCAAAATCTGGAGCCGCAAAACTCAACAGCGAGCGACAGGAGAAAAAGAACGCAACTTAGCAATGGCCATCGCTATCATAACTGCAGTATTCTTGTTAACCTGGTCACCATTTCATATCATGAATATCTTGATAAACTTTAAAAAATCTCTCCTAGATGGGATTCTCTATGAAGCCATCTATTTTGCAAAGTTCTTACATTACAGCAACTCGATTGTTAATCCAGTGATTTACTGTTATAAAATCTCTGAATTCAGAAGAGCATTGAAGTCCTTGATTTCAAGAAAACAAAAGAAAAGAGAAACGCGAGTTTGATTCAAGTTCAGTAAAAGTTGTAGAAATATTATAATAATAAGCCCTTGATTTCAAGAAAACAAAAGAAAAGAGAGACAATAGTTTGATTCAAGTTTAGTAAAAATTGTAGAAATATTATGTCTCACGAAGAGGAGGATAACGATACGATTCAACGCATATATTAATCGAAGGCAGTGTAATAACTAAGTTATTTACTCATGAACTTACATTTACTCATTTCCTAAATGTACATACCATACGCACGTTCCTGATCTATACAATAAATCTAAAACAAAGGCCATTTTACTTTACCCGGCTTCAGAATTTATGCTTGTTTTTAGACTTGGCTTTTGCAAGTTGTACCTGATTTGCCAATCCATCAAACTTTGCATGATAAGCTCAATGGCGTTCTAATTTGTTCTTATCCATGATCCGTAAGAGGACAGACGCAAAAATAACGTCACCATCAAAAACTCCGAAGCGCTAACGTTGGAAACGTCAGCTTTAGAAACTCTTACGGTGACCAAATTACATTACCAACACAACCGAATTAAAATTAAGTGGCGAGAACTTCACAGACTTACTTTACTGCGCCTCGTGCGCCATTTTTTGTTCTTACCAAATTCTGACGTCAACTGTCATCACTGAGCAGACGCTCGGCAACATGGAATTACTAAACAGATGCACAGCATCATGAAATCTATTTGTCACTCGTTAAAGTGCAAATAAACTTCTTATCAGTGCCGAAGTCAGGAATTGGTAAAATCTTCTCGAAACTCAGCCCGAAGAGATATTCTCTGGTTACTCCTTTTTCTCTTTCTTTTCATTTGGAGTTTTAAAGACAAATTCGCTCACACGCTTTCGCGGTATCGTTTAAACCATTTCAATGGTAATCTTAAGAGGATTATCTTGAGACTTTAATGGGTTACAAATTATACTTTATGGGTGGCGGAGAGACCCAAGTTCTACTGACTCCGGATCCGTCTTGGATTAACTTACATCCTCAATATTTAAACTCCAAGCTTCAGAAATTCGGAATCCGAACTTTAAAAGCTTGTATTTCAATCAGTCTACTTTCCTCAGGTAAAAAAAGTTTAATTACTAATGTTGATAAAGGTAATTTGGTTTTATCAACTAGTACTGAGTTGATAATGTAAAGTGGCCACGGTAAAGAGTTTCTTCAGCGGACGTTTCGAGCGTTAGCTCTTTGTCAAGGTGAGGTGATGACAAATATTAAAACTTCAACTTTGGAGTTTCATCCCTTTGTCGAAGAAAAATTTGAAGGCAATTTCGCGTCAACGAGCGTGAAGGGGCTAATTCACATCACTTAAACGTTCCTTGCATTCTCTGTTGGTTGCCAAAGTAACTTAATATTGATTACACTGCAGAATTCAAGAACTCTTCTGTTTCATAGGCGCCAGATACAACAACGTAATGACATAAGAGAATGGATAGACCGATTACAGACAAACAATTCCGATTTCATAAACCTGAGAACAAAACATTTGATTCTCCTCTTTCAAGTGATGGAGGCATTCATGATTGGCTGAAAATCATTTTACTGCTAATTCATAACGATCTAGCCAAGTTTGATATTCCACTTGCGAGCGCGTTGTTTCACCACCTACGTCAAAAAGGAGATATATGTAGGTATGACAACAATAATTTGGTGATTTATTAATTAAAATCTGTCCCTTATAAACAGCTTTTTGTTGACACCTCATAATCAATCAGACCTGTTATTTCGAGGTGATAGGTTTACCAACAAAGACTTCCGCTCTAAAATTAATTTCCTTTAAGGTAATTGCTCAATCAGGAGTTATGAAAGCAATTTCTAATGAAAAATACACATTCGTATTTGAATAATGCTTGTGTTCAGACGTAAAATAACTCTAGTCGTCTATTTGTGTAATCAAGTTGTCTCTAGAACATTGTTGATAATAATATCAACAATAATAGAAATAAAGTGATGCCCCAGAAATCCATGCGAATCAGTCATATTGCGCTCCTTCAGGATTAATCCATCTGATTATTTATTAATTGTAGTAAAACATGTCCATGAAACACCTGTGACATCTAAACCCTCCGATTGATGAAGCACGATTTACCCTAAACTATGCTAATTAAAAGTCTCAGGGCGGCATTATTTGGGCACGATTATAAAGAACTTGTAAGAATAAATAAACAGATATAGAAATACAAACAAATAGCTGCAGATTAATTAGGAACTCGTACACCTTTAATTGGAAAAGCAAATGACACAGTTTAGTGAATCATTTTCTCGGCGAATTTGATCAAGGGGTTGACGGTTTTGCAACTTTTTTTCATCCAAGATACGAGACGCATAATTGACTGAGCCAAAGGATTATTTTTAGCCTCGTATTCACAGCGGGGCGTTCATAATGACTATACCTACCCCATTAGTATAAAAATAGTCGTTGTTACCAGTTTGGGCGCTCAACCCAGAATGCTGCGTCTCAGCTGATAAGACTAACGCAAGGTATGTTCAGTCGGGAACACATTGTGAGTGAGAAAGTTAATCGAAAGGTAGTAGTAGTAGTAGCCATTGCTTAAAACTAATACTCCGCAACACTGCTAGGTAAACTGTGTGTTTTGATATTACACATCATACGCTTATGTAACCTATCTGGCTTTCGTTCGTTTGGAGGAAATTTGGTAAGAGAATCTTGATATTTGTTCATAACCTCTTTGTAATTCTTCCTAACCCGTTCCTTAACGATAACAAGCATAGTGGGCCAGTGCGATACTCTCAATTTCTCTATGATAAATAATTCGTTCATTCGAGACTGTATTTATTCCGAATTGCTTTTGTCTCCTTCACTAATTGGCCATTTTACGGATGTCGTATAAGTTCAACTCCTTGCAAACAACGAGAGTTCATTTATCCGTGCGTATTCAGGCGCACATGGCTAACTCAGAGAGAAGGATAGCTGGATCTACTGACATTTGTATCTTCTCAGACTACGTAAAAAATTTAATTCTGATTTACAATGAGATAAACTCAGAGGTTACATGTTCTGAGCACTTCGATGCAAGAACGAATTTGTAAGGCCTTCGGGCGATAAGTAAAGGGCGAATTATTTTCTTTCCACCGGATACAAAATTGCTTTGCCTTCTTAAGTTCCTGAGAAGTGTTGAGCATATGTTTAGTTTCATTTGTGAGAACATCGTCATGTCAAAATGCTACCGTTTGAAGTGCGTGTTTATCGCTGCACTTTTCAAAACAGTCTAAATATTTGAGTCGATCAAATTATTCCATAATTTCACTAACGTTCGTCTAAATGGTCAAATTGTAATAACAAAGAGCAAGATGGATTAGAAGTCCTTTAACTCTAAAAGGAGTAAATAAACTTGATTTCCGGTGAAGAAAACAGAATGCATGCAATAGAATTTAGTCGTGTGTTGGTTAGGCCAATATGTAACTCCCAGGCAATTATCTGATACGAAAGCAGGCATCAGAAGAAAGTATGGAAAGTATAATAAGAGGTATTGCCGCTTAAAAACTTCAGTGGCCGTAAATTTTGCTTTAAATCAGTTGATTACTTTACCGTGACTAGATCTTGGGAAATGTTACCCCCTACGGTTGTCTCCTTGAAGGGTATCAATGCTGACCGCGAAAAAGAAATTTAACGTTTTGAATTTAAAAAACCAATGTAATTTTAAAAAATACATATAAGTAGCTCTCAACATGGAAAAATTTCTGACTCCTGTTGCCATTCGTTAATCCGTTTTGAAATGAAGGAAACAATTGTTATATTTAATACTTAAATGCGAATGAATAAATTCCACTCTCAAGTTGTCAAAACAGATTTAAAATAACGACAGTACTGAATCGGCCAGACTTAAGGCTAAGAAAGAATTATAAATTGTTTACACCGAACCATTTCCTAGTTGATGTCAAATCTTGCAACGGAATGGTTCGGTTAGGAACCGGTTTATTTCTTGTGATGGACTTGATATCTCGCATAGACAATGTCGCCCGGCCTGCATAGCGTAATATTATGTGTTAAATGATAAAATTACAATTATAGTTAATCTGCAATATCGTAAGGGTTTCCTTGTTGGAAAAAAGGAATGGAAATATTTTATTATTTTAAGTCATTTAATGCAAATTATAATCAAAGTGCTCTGTGAGCAAACTCGTGAATTAACACATGATTTTTTGGATTATGTTTAATGTTACCTGGTTTAGGGAATTTTGTGGTTGATTGTCATATCAAGAGTACGAGCAGTAGTTCAGTGTTGAACTAGGAAAAGAAAAGGTTGGAAGTAAATGTGAGTGAAAAGTGAAATTTACTGTCTATTATTGTAAATATTAGAAAATCAAGGCAATACTGTCTTAATGAAAACATTAACGATTCCCTCTTTATCAAATGAGACAAACGGGAACGAGTTTTGAGTGACATAACTAAGCCAAGACTGCCACCGTCATTTTGGATCTCCGCCTGGGTAGATTTTAGTCACGTGCTAGGCAACTTATAATCAAGAACAAGATAGAATTTCATTTCAGGCCTATTTATCAATTTTGTGGTGTATAACTTTCGCATTTTAGTACGTTATATTTATTTTGAATCTTCAAACTGTCTTGAAACTTTAAAAAAATTGTGCTTTAAAAATTCGCTGAAAATCGGTAGCTAAAATTGTTTGTTTAGGTGTTATTTGATTTTCGTGTTAACTTGTAATTTCGTCAGTCGCGGCATCTTCTGTTGCTTCACAAAGGAAAAACGCACGATACAAAACGTAATGATCGATTTTGTCCTCAATCTCACGCCATAACAGAAAAAGCTTTTGAACATCTGTAAACTCAGAGCGCTTCGCAGTAAGTGATATTTTCAATGAATCTTCGGATTGTTTTCGAGTTCAAGGATTGTAAATTACAATTTTATGAAAAACGAAGGTTGTTCTGTTATTTCAGTGTGAACCCTTGCATGCCTGCCAGTCGCTGGCGCCGCTTGTTGAAACTAAAACGAAAAAAAAAAACTCTTTTAAGATTATCATTGGCTTCTTTTTCACCCCACCACTATTCTTAGCAACAAAGGTCGCCATTTCGTTTGTTTATTGCTCGCCAAAAACTATCAAATGCACTCAAAAGCCTAAAATCGAAAAAAAGGTTTACAGGAATCGACCAATCGAGCGAGCGAGCGAGCGAGTGCCATTCTCCACATCATATCTACGACTCGCTCTTGCGCATGCGCGCAATTCACGAGCTAAAAAAGGGCAGGTTTATTACTTTGTACTCCATCTTGATAGTCTTTTCTCAAAGGTTGAGTTTGGTCACGTTCTTCTTGTGAGTTTGGCCACGTTCTCCCAGTGAGTTTGATCACGTTTTCCTCGTTGTGATCGTGAGGTTGATATGGAACTCGTGATAAGCCATGTTCTTAATTAAGTTAATTTGTTAGTCCAGGAAGAGTAAATCTCCCTAGTAATAGGTCGCGTTCGACACCTTGTTCCCAGAGGTAATTTAAGGTGTAAACAGGTGATACCCCTCATGTTTCGCGATCAAAAGCAATTTGGGGGCGGTACTTGTGAGCGTTTTTCTTCTTTAACTCTTGTGACCAAAATGTTGTTATGTAACAATCTTTTAAGGTGATTTCCTCTTAAGATACCCTTTCAGGTATAAATAATACTCGGAACCAAGGTTATTTGTAATTTTTATATTATCGATCTCGTTTCTGTTCTGGCCGATCTCAACCGTAAAGATATGAAAATTAAGGTAGAAATTGATTTTGTAACTGCGTGAACAACTCGAAGGTGCATACTCAGTATGTGGGAACTGTAGTACGTAGTCAAGCGTGATTCGCTAGTTGAGATGGTACGATGACGACACAAGAAGATTGACGGCTTAGAAACGTCAGTTTGATTCATTCAAGTCAGAGCACGTTTATATGAAATCAAATCTTAGCTATGCCTCATCAATGTTTATACCATTCGATAAATCATATTATCGGCAAGATGCATACCCCACTATCTCTATTGACCCCCCTTTAAAAGAATATCGAAGGCAACTTAAAGAGAGTTTAGAGTTCTATAAAAAAACGCTAATGTACGAGTAATTATATACATATATATATTCTTTCAGTCATCGCAAGTTTGATCAAACGCTATTCGACCGTGTTAATACTTCGACAACGAGTCATCTTTGCTGGGGATTTCGTGTAACCCAACGTGACTCACTTCTTGTTTGTCACCTAACTCATCAATATGTTCATCTTTAAACGATTAATGCCTGCCCCTGAATTACTGAAATCATTCTATCATGTTTTTTCCTTTCAGAAAAATCTCCCTGGTTTAGCCACAGACTAACATGAACTATTCATCAACAGTGAAACTGCCATGAACAATTCAACAACCGAGAACTCTCTTCCCACAAAACATCTTCGCGTCATTGCATGGTGTATATCATACGGAATCGTAGCAGTACTCATTACCATTGGCAACGGCCTTACCATTGTAATTTTTTCAAACAAGAAATTTCCAAGGAAATTCGGCGGCTACTTTTTGATGAATTTGGCTGTCGCTGATCTAATGGTGGGTTCTTCTGCTATGCCAATGTACATCTATATTGTGTACGCCCTCAGTTATTCGTCAATCGACAGAAGTATTTTGCTCTTCCAAGAGGCTTATGTGGTTGTAGACGTCTTTACTGGTCTTGCTTCTGTGTTCACACTGGCTTGTATCGCACTCGAGAGACTCTATGCCGTACTTTACCCAATGACATACCGCTGGAAAAAAACCAAGACAGGTTATTACAAGGCTATAACCATGGTATGGGTTACATCAGGAATAGCGTCTGTTGTTTACATTTTAAGCTCTCGAAATCTTCTTTTCATTCTGCCTAGAGCAACTTTCATTTATTATTTAACAATTTTGTCTGTTCTGTCTGTTTTTGTCATTTCTGCTGCCTACGTGACCGTTTCCGTTCGTGTTCATCTATGGAACAAGGCTAAAATGGATATGTGTGTTTCCAAGCAGGAAAAACGCTTAGCAACCGCGTTGTACATAGTTACGGTTGTTTTCGTTTTAAGTTGGACTCCTTTTCATGCCATGAACATTATTGCGAACTTTACAAGCACAGCTTTGGAGAGAATACCTGTAGACCTTGTTTTCTCTGCAAAGCTGCTTCACTATGGTAATTCACTAGCAAATCCTGCCATTTATTCTCTGAAAATACCCGAGTTCAGAGTAGTAGTGTGGCGCATGTTTTGTAAAAACCGGGTCAGAGAGACTCGAGTTTGATTGATTTTATTGATTTGATAGTGGATTGACTTTACACATAAAGGAAACGGAGCAATAATTAGTTGGGGCCAATATCTGAAGTGCCAATGAAGAAATCAACAGCTTCCTTACAATTAAAGTACCAGTGGGTATGGTGACATCTGTCGACACCTGACGCATGAAAATAGAGAAAAAGATTGAATATTTAGTGGAGTGCCGCACGCACAAAAGAGTCACTAAAAAGAAAAAAACTGATTTAAAAACAGTTTAAAAAGAATGTCAGTTTAAAACACCTCAGTCATACGGCATGAGATGAGTCTTTTCGTCTAAAGAAGAGGTAACACATTTTGAAAGACCCGGCAAACGAAAGCAAAGCTTAACTTCTATTCAGTAAGCTTTAATTTTTTATGAAAGTCACGTTGCAATTCTTGTTTCATGCTTTATACAATCCCTATGGGATTGGGAAAACCTGAAATGAACGTTTCGTGCTTCCTACTGAACTTTATTGAAACAAACAGTAAGAAAATAAAGATATAAATTGCGTGCTTTTGTTACCAAAGCTGCTCGTCATCTCACAATGATAATTTTTCTTTTCAAAGGAATCAATTTATATTACGAATTGTCATTGCGTTGTGCGTTTGAAAAAACCCTTATCAATCGGTATCAGTTATGACGTTTTTAAGAAAGACGTTATTCTTTGTGGGAGTATAATCGAGGCTATTGAAATTCAGGTAATTTGGTGTTAACGACTGAGTTGAAAACGTAAATTGGCCACCTGAAAGAGTTAAAAATTGAAATTCAATCCGGTTCATTATCTTTCATTTGGAAAAAGCTTTAGTAAAACGCTACGTTCATAATCAATAAAGCAGCGGAACACATAATTTGGGAGTGCCAGAAAAGCAGTGACCCACATTTCGATAACCTGAACGAAAGTCATCATCATTGACTTCCGCCAAGGTTAGTTGCTAACGACAACTGTCGATTAGATCGCACGATCAACTGTTACCGCGGGATGAAATAATTAAATTTTGGGTGTTCAATAAGATTCATCTTCTTTTTTTTTACATCTATTTTCTTTCTGGCAGCTGGTTCGCCTATTTTTTGAATTTTTTTTGGAGCAAGCTTCAATTTTTGACAGACACCTCCAGGTGTGTGAGAGCAAATAGCCGCAGCTCGATATAATTGAATGAACGTAAATTAACTGAACCTTTGGATGTTATGGAATCAACGGTTATTCAAACAAATAAAACGCTTTACGCTCAGTTTCATCTATTAGTTGTTATTAATCAGTATCTAAAAATGTAGATCCTTTGGTCAGAAATATCTGCGCGGTATTATTAAATGTTCGATTGTTTATGAGTGTGCAGATGATCTTCTATATTTATGAATTAATAGTTGCAGCGGGCACAGGGCTGTAAAAGAGCGATCATTCGTCTGCTTTGTGCTTAGCTACGGTTTCTAGAACGACAAACTTCTTGTTCCATCAAATCTTGACCGTCCAAACCTCCAAAAGGTACATAACCTCAAATTAGTACTTTGCCATACGGTAAAACACGTGCCGCATTAGCTATCGGTGATTAACATCAGCAGGCTGCAAGTGGCGACCGACTGCGTCGAAAGCCAAATCCCCTAATAGGAGACCGGGTGCATAGCCCATACAGCTAGGTGATTATCAGCCAAAAGCAAATGAAAAATGCAGACGTCATTACTTGAAGTGCAAAGGCGAGTAACGCGTTGTTAGTATAAAAGTCGATCTGCCCGGGGCCTTTTCTCCGCCCGCGTAAATCGCTTGCGTTCACAATGGAAATGGATCAAACTTGTTCAAGTTGGACGAGAGTACTTGCATCTCGTGGGTATCACTAGAGCAAAAAATTTAATCATCCAAGCATTAGCTGATATTGCCCCAGGTGGATAACGCTTACACCGTTACGTTCACCCTCAAATTTTTTACTATATCTCGCTTACTTTGAACCGAGGAAACGAGAACAACTACCAACAGGTGTTAACGGTTAACTGCGCTTCAAAGTTGGAAAGCACAAGCGTCTTGAGTCAAGTAAGGAGTAAAGGTAGTGCTATAAACAACTTTTTCAAGTATTCAATTAGCCTATTGTCCACGCACGTAAACCAACACAAAAGTATAAAAGCGGCTGAGCGATTTGCATATATGTCACGACGCGGTCGAGGGTCCATTTTAGCACAAAGTGACAAGGCAAAAGTACGTGAAGTGTTTGCCATACTCAATTTAGATGATCACCCGAGCGGAGGGCAGGAGGTATTAACTCTTCCTTTGATAAAGTTAAAGGTAAAAATTTTTGATAACTAAATTTTCGACGCTCATTATCCTGCTTACTGTCGAGCCACCGCTGCGATCTTCATAATTTCTGGAGCCCGCCCGCGTTGTGCCATGGCAAGTGAAAACGATTGTGTGGTTATCATTACAATTGTTCTCACCAAAAGGGATTTGATTGAAGATACCACAGCGATTGTCCATCATTCGGCGTTCTGATTCATTTTCAACTGATCATGACGAGGCCATAGGCTGCACTGTAGTGCTTTATATTTATCTTACTATTTAACTGCTATAACGTGAAGGCTGTTATCGTATGAAATTGCTCGGACACCCCAGAGTTGCCATAGAAATGCCGTAATTTCTAGGTTCCCTTAAATCGTATTATTTCTAGTAACTTTATGTAGCCGATATATACCTTTTGGCTTTTATTTGAACTTACTTCATGGCTTAGTCTCAAGGCAGGGTAAGGTACAAAACATGACGCAAAATGATGCAGCAAAATCTCTTGCCAAGGATCAATGTCTTTTAATTAAATAGCCATAACAGACCCAGATAGACAAATTACCTGCAGGGTTTCATATTGGCGAAACATGACGGGTAGCCTGAGAGCGGGATATTTTGAACGCATATTAAAACCTCGTAAACGAAAACCACGATCGGTCTATCATGTCAAAATTCACGCCACGTCCAGCTGTTTTGTATGCATGAGTTCCATTTGTTTCAAAATAGAGCGGCACAATTAACTGTTAGTGTTCTTACTTCCACGACGTGCGACACCTTTTCGAAAGTAAAACGAGGGGAAAGTTCAGAACAGATCTATAAAGAAATTAAATTCATCAATGTTTACAAATAATTTACAAGTTTTTGATACCAAAGTAATGAAAGGTGAAAACGTCTGTGACCTGGAGAATGCTAGCATCGTCGTTAGACAGCATAATTATTCCTAAAAAAAATTGAAAAATAATACAGATAATACTAACACTAATGATGAAATCAAATCTTCATTCAGAGGTTCTATGTAGCACTTGGCTTTGGGGCGATGTACCATTTGCTCTTTGGAAGTAAATACACAAAGCAATGTATATACCATGATTAGTCTCTTTGAATGGGCAACGATTTTAATCAAGTTTGTAGTTTTATGGGCACCGCCGACGTGAAATCATGGATCATTACCAGATAAAGATGCTCAAATGCAAATGTTTATGAAGCAGTACTCAGAGAGCACGTATACATAAGCAGTCACCTTTTATTCCGCACTGAATTTTCACGCAAATTTTTTATTGCCTGTTTACAATTTGTAAGTTTATAACAGGCGACATTGATAAAGCCTGCGTCTTTTAATCGTAATTGCATAATAATAGCGGTATATGAATAGTATTCTGTCGATGTATTAAACTTTTCCGGAAACCCTTTCCTGGAACTGTTTTCTTACTCATGAAGATTGCAATTAAAACTGCTAAAGTCATGCATAAAGAGACTGCCAAATACACACACGAATTTTAAAATGCCAGGTTCTAGAAGAAGACTTAAGACCCTTAATTGAATATTCATAGATGATCGGCTCACTTCTGCATCCAAGCTTCGTCGATCGAAGATTCCAGTCGTGTTTTTAATTTCGTTCTGCCAACCTATTGTTAGATTCAAGCACGTACGAAATACATTTCAGTTTGTCGACTTTTAGATGTTTTAATGCGTTTAGAGAAGTTTCTTTTACGACTGGTACAAGTGTGTTTACTTCAAAGACGTTTGCAAATATCCGGCATTGCGGCGATGTTATTTTCGAAATTTTGATAAGACCTCTTTAGGTGAAAATACACAGTTTATGACAACAAGTAGAAAATTGAAATTTTTCCTAATTTGTGTCATCCTTAGAACTCGACGTAGTTTTCCGAGACAACGTCACATTTGGAGGAAAATGATCAAAGTTACTAAAGATAAAAGGTTACGAACATGTTATTGAAAAAGTCATTACAACGGTAAACAAAGAAATCTTATGTCGAGTGAAATTTGCATTGTTAATGTTCTTTGGAAAACCGCGAAACCGATAAGCTAGCGTAGCGTGCACAAACATCGCCCTGGATACATCATGTCGTTCTCTTAGAATGAATTGTCTCTTGTTACAGGCGCGTTTGGCAGACATTAAGAAGGCTTCCTACTAATATCTGTTTTTAATCAGTGAATTATGTTGGTTATGAAGTTCCACAGTCAAGTATTTTTCTCCGTTGGTTTCCACCGGAAAAGGAAACGAGCGAAGTTTATAGCATAAGATACACTTTACTTAGTCTCTGACTAAGTGCCCATCAGTTGCAGAGCCTGAGCACGGATGGCAACCATTAGTTATATCATATCACCCATGAGTAGGGTTGAAAAATAGGCTGAAAATTGATACTGTTTTCTCCTGAACTGGTGAGTATAACATTGATTCATTTTGTATTTTCAAGTAGAGCGTTTACCGAAAACAAACGGGAAAAATTAACTCTGACTTTACCCAATTTCACTATCAATATTACCGAAGGAAAATTTGAAAATATTTCCTGCTCAAACTATACTCAAATATTCTCAATGAAGTTCAAAGACAGCTTGAAGCATTCGAAAAGGAAGTAATTTTTTTGCCGTGAGGCGTTTGCCTTTTGATAAAATTCCCCCTAAGAAAATCCAGAAACAAAAACGCCCTATCTTTTCGTGCATTTTTTAAAATTTTGCTGTTGTTAAAGCCAATAACCAGCCGGCG